GATGGATGGATGGATGAATTTATTTATTTATTTATTTTATTTTATAGATAGATATGAATGATGCTACACAAATAAAATGTATTATTTATTTATTTATATATTTATTTTTATTGAGTTTAACAGATAGATATAAATGATCCTATTCAAATTAAATGTTTTTTTTTTGTTGTTTTATAGATAGATATGAATGATGCTTCACAAATAAAATGTATTATTTATTTATTTTTATTGAGTTTAATAGATTATATAAATGATCCTATTCAAATTAAATGTAATTTATTATTTTAATTTTTAGTTTTATAGATATGAATGATTCTACACAAATAAAATGTATTATTTATTTATTTATTTTTATTGAGTTTAATAGATAGATATAAATTATCCTATTCAAATTAAATGTTAATTTAAATGTATTTTTTTAATTTAAATGTATTTTTTAGTTTTATAGATAGCTATGAATGATGCTTCACAAATCATTTATAATAAATAATTTATTTATTTTAATAAGGTCAAAGTCAAAGAAACTAAATGCAAACATTAGATATGGAAAATAGAAAGGCTAAACAATACAAGGAATAAATATTTAGATGAGTAATTTAGTTTCTATATTTTTTTATTCTGACCTGTGAAGCACTTTGAGCTGCATTTTATATATGAAAGATGCAATTAAAATGTATACAATTAAAATACAATTTTAATTATATATGATTAAAAATATTTGATTTGATTTTAAAGGTCAAAATAAGGGAAAAACTCAATGCAAGCATTGAAAACGACACCTGGCCTTTCCTGAGCGCCGGAGCGATTGATTCCTCGGTGGAAACCTCATCTGTCTCAATCACGGCAGAGATGCAAACGTCAGCGCTCGTCCTCACCGCTCACGCTCTAATCGGCCTTTACGCTAATAGAATAATAAAGTAGATCTGATCAAATGCCAGTCGTCTCTCACACTCATGTCCAGCGGTGGACGGTGATCTCTGCAGCTCCGGGCTTCTGTTTAACCCCCATCTGATTGTGTTCAGCTGACAGACGAGTTATCTGTCTCACGTCTCGCCGTTAAAGGGATAGTTCACCCAAAAATGAAAATTTGATGTTTATCTGCTTACCCCCAAGGCATTCAAGATGTAGGTGAATTTGTTTCTTCAGTAGAACACAAACTGAGATTTTTAAGTCAAACCGTTGCAGTCTGTCAGTCCTATAATGTCAGTGGATGGGAATCATGGCTTTGAGAGTCATAAAACATACACAAACAAAACCCAATTATTTGTGAAATTTACTAGCAATTTCTGAGTGAAAATTGTTTTGAAGTAAATCCTATACCAATTTTCTCAGTGTAGGCCAAGCCAATATTTTATTTTATTCGACCCACATTAAAAAGTATTTACAATGTTTTGGACATTTAAAGATCAATGAAGAAACACTTGATTTCAATCTTTGTAAATTGACTTTAATATTTCATCCAATATATAAAGACATGAAAATGTGCTGCTTAGTAGAAGTAACCCTGATTCTGTATATGATTCATTTACTCTGTCACAGTAAATAGATGTTTTTCAGGTGTTTTCTGAGTGAAGGATGAGCGATTTGCAGATACATGTAACATGTTTGAGTCTCTCAGTAACCAGTGCGCTTGTTTCTCTGTTCAGCAATATTTCCACGCGGGTGGAAACGGTCTGAAGAAAACCTTCCTGGAGAAGAGCCCCGATCTCAAGTCCTTGAAATACGCCCTCAGCCTTTACACTCAACCCACAGATGCCTTGATCAAGAAATATATATGCACCCAAACCTCTCAAGGTAAGAGCATTCTCGCTGTCATGAGAGAGAGAGAGAGAGAGACAGAGAGAGAGACAGAGAGAGAGACAGAGAGAGATCGATTTTTATATTTAAAAAAAAAAAAACTTTATTATACATTTAAAATCTTTCACATATTATTTCATTTTATATCACCAAATATTAATGCATTATTATCAACTTTACAGAGTGCTTCTCCATTTGTCCAAATCATTTCAAAGTCCAGTAGATTTTTCATACAAGAATAAAAAGAAAAATCATGTTTAATTATTGTTTTACAAGTCCTTTAAAAAACGTAACTATATTACAATTATTTCCAAAATAAATGTTCTGTTTTCTACTTAAATAAATAGACATCTTTGCTTGACCTCTAATAAAATTCAGCAAACGCCCCATTCTTTTCTTTACTTTAGACTACGTAAAACCATAAATAAATACAGGTATACTGAACATTTAATTAAAGTCAACAAAAATCATTGTCAGCACTTCAAACAGAGACTGTAACCTTTGACAATGAATGAAACAATGAACAATAGTACAAAAAAAGTACAACTGTCTATTACTTGGGGATTCAAAATAGAAATGAAGGCATTAACTGCAACAATGCCATGCAAGATCCTCCACTGCAAATCTCCAATAGATTTTCTCAATGGTGGCTTGTATAACGTATCCCACATTGGTTTAAAGTTAGAAGCAACACATAAATGACTTTGCCATGGAGTATCAGAACGATGTACCAACGATGTTTTTTGTTCAACACTTTTACACACACTTCATACAAATATTTTCCACAAGTAAACTTAATATTTCTGTCCTTTAAATTGTTTGATACTGTTAAAGGACAGTTCCGTATCGGGTAAATCCGGAGAAATCATCATTGCTGGAAAATTGTCCTCTGCGTATTTTTTTCAGCCGATACACATCTGGATTGGATAGACAGTTTTCCCCTCTTTGTCTCATCTGGCTGATTCAATAAACAAGGTCTGATCAGGGAAGTAATCAGTGACTTCAACATTCCGCTTCCCCTTGGTAGACTATAGAAAGCTTCTCACTTTCTCCAAACTACAGCCACTAAAATTCATCCACTTTCTTCATATTCACATTAGTAAATGAATCAGAAGATTCTCTCTCACTGTCCGAACCTGATATGTCATCAACACTGTAAGATTCTCCACAAGCCCCAGTTTCTTGTCCATATTTGTGACCCTGGACCACAAAACTAGCCATAAGGGCCAATTTTATGAAATTGAGATTTATACATCATATGAAATCTCAATAAATACGCTTTCCATTGATGTAAGGTTTGTTAGGATAGGACAATATTTGTCTGAGATACAACTATTTGAAAATCTGGAATAAATTAACAAAATATCTTCATGGAACATGATCTTTACTTAATATCCTATACTTAATGATTACTTAATGATTTTTGGCATAAAAGAAAAATCAATCATTTTGACCCATACGATGTATTGTTGGCTATTGCTACAAATATACCTGTGCTACTTATGACTGCTTTTGTGCTCCAGGTTCACATTTGTTCCTTTCTCAGGATCTTTTCTGTTGTTACCACTCACAATCACTTGTTCTGTGTTATTTTCTTCCTTGGCCCTTTCCACAGTACCAATTATTTTGAGTTTATTTTTCTGGACATGAACGCATTAAATGTCCTTCTTTGCCACATCCAAAACACTTCAAGTCGATGCAAAAGTCACATGATCAAACCCGTCGATCCTGAACTTCAGATCAATATTCAAATCCTCTACACCACTCTTCAGTACCACGTATACGTGTCTCCTGAACGAAACAACATGTTTCAGCAATGGCGATTTACAGCCTATAGAGGGATCTTTTTTATGGCTGAGACAATCTGACCATGTCTTGAAAGTTCCCTTTCTATAATTTTCAACCTTAATGAAAGGATGCATATTTGACAACAATACTTATTTCTCTGGATTAACGAGAGGAAACACTATCACAAAACTACACTCTAAAAAATATGGACTAACCCAACTTTTGGCTTAAAAATTTTATAAAAAAATGTAACCCAACAGCTGAGTTAGTCCATATTTGACCCAATGTTGGGTTGAAACAACCCAGCATTTTTTAGAGTGTATCATTCAATGTTATTCCTTTTTCAACAACCTCATTCACTTTGTCAATCTTGTCTAAAAACAAGATGACAGCGCTGTTCATCCTTGATGCAGACCATATGCTGTTATATCCAACAACTTTTCCGATCGCTGTACTAACTTCCTCCACTGAGCTCTCAACACCAACTGGCACTTTAACTCCATGTCGCGAGTTAACTGTTCAAAACCCGCGCCTCCCGAACTAGCCATGGCCACCAGTTAAAAATAACTGGCTAACCCCCCACAAACCCACCTTTCCCTCTGCAATCACTCACACACCAAAGCTACAAGATATAGCAACAATACACACATAAAAAAGAAAAGTAACAGACCATAAAATTGAGAAAAACTTCAGTCACGTTCCGATTCACTCTCCACTCGCTCCACAAACGCCCACGCATGCGCAAACGCGGAAAGAGAGAGAGAGAGAAAGAAGCTTTCATGCAGTGAGACAGTTCTGCTCGCTGGGTTTGTTCAGAATTTGTTTTAAAGTAGTATGCAGTGTGTATACCTTATAAAATATGCAAGTTTTTTGTATGCATGAATGATCTGCTACATTTATCAAAACATGTAGTGACTCTGGTCCAAAACATACTGTAGTGTGCTGCCTACTTAGACAACATTAGACATACATTAGCAACATTCTCATTCCTTCTCTTGGCCAAAGAAGTCAATAAATTCAATTCAAATGAGCTTTATTGGCATGACTGTGGAGTAGCACAATGTTGCCAAAGCAATAAACAGTGAACAAATTATACAGGCATATAGATAGATAGATAGATAGATAGATAGATAGATAGATAGATTTTTTTTAAAAGCTTTTCCAATAAAAACGCCAATCCCAGAATGCATTCTGACAAACACAGTGCACAAAAAAGTGAGAGAAATAAATGTACAATTCTGAATGATCCAACTTTAGGTGTGTTCTGCACAAAAATATTAAACATATTTATGGGACTGTGCTGCTTTTAATAAAGTAGACAATATTTTGTTCAATAAGCTCACTTAAAGAGATCATCATTTACTCACCCTTCTTCTACTCTTCTACTGTTAAACACAGAAGATATTTTGAAGAACTTTCACCAACATTCTTTAAAATATCTTCTTTTATGTTCAACAGAAGCAAGAAACTCATACAGGTTTGGAATAACTATAATCTAATACTCTAAATAAAATATGATAAAACTGCTGTATTTTATGTATGAAACATTTATTTTGTAACTCAGGTTTTGCCTTGAAAATAATCTTATTTTTATTTAAATTTTAGTCATTTTGTTTTGTGCTTTTGTTATTTTTATTTATTATTATTATTTTTTTGTGAAAATCATCTTTCAATTATTTGTAATATTTCTATTTATCTTTATATTATTTCAGTTTTAGTAATTATGTAGTTGATTTATTCATTTTTATCTGTTTTTCTTTTTTTTTTATTTAACTATAATTAATTTTCTATTGTAATTTATAATTTTATTATTTCAGTTTTACCTTTAGTAATTTTATTACTTAATCTTTTTTCAGTTAGTTGCTAAGGCAATATATCTATTATATTAATATTACTAGTTTATTTCATTTTGATTTCAAATAAAGAAATGTTTAATAATTTTTAGTTAACAACAACACTGTGAAGGCAGTTGCTAAGACACTAAACAGCAGGTTTTGGAACAGAGCCATCGTATCCCACAATGCAGTTTGCTTGAATTGACTTTCCATCATGACCAGTGAACCAGAAGCGATATTTCTTCTTAACTCATTATTTTATTGTTCTGCCAACAGACAGTAAGTTTGGCAAACTATTTATTTTGAAGATAGTAAATGAACTTCACTTGTTCAACTTGACTTAAACATGCAACTAAATGAGGTCATGTGACAACCATGCTACTATTTGAACTAAAATACTATTCAAAACACTTATTTTTAATAGCATACAGTATATATTGTGCAGTACTCTCTCTCTCTCTCTCTCCTAAGGCCAAAGGCTGCAGACAGAATATGATTTCTAATGTGTGATGCACAGTTTTGTGTGTGTTGAGTTGAGGATGTGTGTTTATAATTCATCAAACTTCATGTTTAAAGTTATTCATCACTGCAGTTCTGGGGTTTTCTGTCAGAGCAGGTGATGGATTTCTGGGATATCTGGGCTCTTTTGGTTCAGATGGAGAATTTCTAGGGATTTTACACAGCAGACACGTCAGACTCATTTTTTAATGCACTGTCAGGAAAAGTGTCTTTAAACTGAGCTAAAACTGAATCTAACAGCATTATATATGTATTTATACACTGGCAGTCAAAACATTTGGAATAATTATGATCTTTAATGTTTTTGAAAGAAGTCTCTTAAGCATTTATTTGATAAAAAATACAATCAATTAAAAAATACTTGGTAGCACAACTGTTTTCAACATTGATAATAATGAGAAATGTTTCTTGAGCAGCAAATCAGCATATTAGAATGATTTCTGAAGGATCATGTGTCGGGTTTTGAAACACAGAAATAAATTACATTTGAACAGATATTCATTTAGAAAAGTTATTTTGAATTGTAAAAATATGTATTATTTTGTTTAAATAAATGCAACCTTGGTGAGCAAAAGAGACATATAAAAAAGATGAACAAAATCTTTGTGTGTGTGTGTGTGTGTGTGTGTGTGTGTGTGTGTGCGTGTGTGTGTGT